AAAATGGTGTTTCACTGTGTGTTTTTTTCTTTTTTTTTCCTTTCTTCCTTCACGAAAAGACTTTTTTGTGAGTGGAGCTTGGAAAAAACACATGGTTTTGGGTCCACTTCAAAATGCGGCCCGTACACCAGCAGCGCTGTCACTGCAGTCATGTGGCCTTGGCACTACAGTATTGTCCTTTGCGATCAAAACTTGTCCTCTAAAAAATTCATCAAGATGAGCCTTGACTTCTTAAGGCACACACAGAGAACTCTATATTAAAAACAAAACAAAAAAGCAATTAAAAAAAATGGTTTTGTTTCTCAGAGAACTGCACAGCTTGTGAGGACGAAAAATTATGAGCCAGCTCATATGTCCAGGTCACTTGTATCTATTCTTTACAAGAAACCAGGAACATACCATAAACATGGTTAACTTACGCATAGAACCACTGACTGCCTTAGATTCAGGGTGAAAGACGAAGATACAAAGTCCTCAGGAGCTCTAGACTTGTCAGTGTGATAGATGCTTGAGTCCTTGAAGAATTAACATTCTTCATTTACAAGTTAAAATGGACAATTATCGGCAGAAGTGGGGTATCTTCCAGTGTTACCATTCTCATGGGGATTGTTATTTCATATATAAGACAACACCTGGTAATCTGTGGGTCTAGTCACTCTGAAAGCCCTTCCTCGAGTTTACCCCCATTGCAGTCCTCCTGTAGACTCATCAAGAGGCAGTAGAGGGTGCTAGTATTGCACAAACAGAAATAAAACATCTGGGCCTAAAGCGCAAGGAAACAAAAACCCAAGACGCAGGTCATCACAACATGGCTTTGGTTTACTCACATCTAGCGGTTTAATAAATTAATGCCTTGCGTTAACCGTGGATGTTTTTATCCTCCTGGTGTTTTTTTTCATTTGTAATATTTGAAGCTGAGAAGAGAAGATTGAGAGAAATCGTTTACATTGCTTATCATAGCGCAAGATATCTCATAAAACTTGATGTGATTAATATATGTTATTCAAGTGTTCTGAAAACTGATATTTTATGGGGACATCATCAATAGTATGGTCAGCAGTATGACAGGCCACATTTATGGAAAGTGATGGTATCTGCCCCTAAAAGCTTACAAGCTGTGTGTGCAACAAGACAAGTGGATGCAAGACGTTACTGTTAATATGTCCTTCCTTCAATACTGGCCAATCACAGGGGCAGTCATAACCTCCTTGTCACGAGAGATGTTTTTATTCACGAATCAAGTGAACGGTTGCCTTTTCAAGAGATCTGAATGAGAACAATATAGTAGTTTTGCAGATCTCTCTGGACAACTTGTGAAAGAACAGAAATGGAAAAACTCAAACAACTGCAACATACTCCCTCTTGGAAACTGTCATGATCACAGACACTGCAATACGGAAGAAATGCATTTCCACTCATGCTTGCCAAAAGAGAAGATGGGTGGTCTTGCAGCTAAAACATTGGGATTCAAGCTCTCATCTGAATTCTGACCCCTGAATTCACCAGAGGATTCTTGTGTGGCCTTGAAGCATTAATGCCTGTGGCATGAGTACTATGGAGTCCCACTTCCACCCCCGACCTTCCCTGCCTCCTTTTGCCTGAAAATCAGCATAATCATCATCATCATCTATTAGGGACCTTTTTTGTTGCTAAGGTGCCTTCTGAGTCTGTAGTCCTAACCATGCCCATCTCAGCCTAGGGAGCTGTGGCAGCTCTACAAGGATTTTGGGCATCTACCTGTATAGGTAAGATAGGCCTTCCTGGAATATCTAGTGCCAAGGGTTTTGATACTACTATAAGCTGAAGAAAAGGACAAGGGGGAAACAACTGTGAAGAAACAGGTCTCTGTCTCTTCAGGACAAACTCCTGCTTCAGGAGGAAAAGTAGGTATTTCAGAGGGAAGGGGCAAGAAGAAACCACAAATGGGGTGGCCACACATCCTAGACGCAGGAGAAAGGGCAAACCAAGGGACAACCTTTCAAGACTTCTTGGAGGAATAGCACATCCATTTCAGGCATGTGGGAGGTTACAGACTTAAGGCATCTAAAACACCAGAAAGTCTTAGAAGAATGTGGCTTTGGAGAGTTGGTATTCCAAGTTGGTTGGTATTCCAAGCTCCTCAGAAAAAAAAAAAAAAAGAAGAAGAAAAATGGAGCAAACCTTCACTGCAAGATCTGACAGTTCAATTCTTATTGACATCATTAGTTAAATATAGATTACAAATTCAAGGCCTCTACTATCTCTATTTCTCAGTGCGAGTTCTCACACATGTGCAGATAGTGTAACTACCACTACTGTGCATGAGTAGTAGCTTACAGATTCAGCTTACAGTTTCTGCTTACAGGGTATCACTGGGGCTGCTTTTGTACAAATTGAGGAGGTAACTGTCCCTAGAGGATTTCTGATCCTCAGTTCTGATACAGCACTCTGAGGAGTTGGATGAAATTTATATTGTTCAAATCTATTGTTTTATGAGCAATTTTTCAGAAAATATTTGTGTCTCACTGACACTAAGAAAAATGGCTCCTCTAATGGGCAAAACCTTCTGGATTTCCTTCCTTGTGAAATTCAGTAGTTTTTTTTATTATTATTTATTTTCTGTAAGCTTGTCTTCCTGAATGGCAAACATTTTTGTGAAATCCAATTTGTAAAAGTGTTCAGATACCCTAAAAGTTGCTTTTCCAATACAGAACATCAGAGTTTTTAATCAGTGGAGCAGCTTTCCTCATGCAAACAAGGTGAAAATGGAACATCCTTGATGATTTTCTTCAAAAAAAATAGATGGAGCAGGGGAGTGCTGACATTGCTTTCATTTTGCCAAAGGCTGCCAACACTCGGAGGGAATAAACTGTTCAGTTGGTGAAAAAGTGCTGAACAGACACTAAAGGAATACTCCCAGTCGTGATATCCTTACTTTCTGCTCTCGCAGCTGCCCACGCGTAGTAGCTCCCCTTCTGCCCTGCGCCCCCTCCAGCAGCAAAAAAAGAAAAAAAGAAAAGAAAAGAAAAAAAATCTTGGATTGAAACAGTAGCCAGAGGAATCGGTAGATCCTGAGAGCTGGCAGGGGTATGAGTATTTTGTAACCTGAGCTGACATGTGACTAGGACCAGGCAATAAAAATAAGTCTCCTACCAGTCGTCCTGTTTGCTCTACTTTACTGTATCGTGTCAGTAGAGAAACCCTTCTCTCTCTCTCTCTCTTTTTTTTTTCCTTTTGGCAAAAATTTAGTAAATGAAGCCACCTGAATCATTAAATCTCGAAGGAAACCTGGCAGAGAACTGGAGGAGGTTGTTGCTGTGCTTCCAAGTTTTCCTGGAAGCAAACATGTACTGGAGAGAAACAGCGCCGAAATCTTCTACTTTGCTACATGTGGTGGGAGGGGCAGGAAGCACAAAAACAAAATTAGAAGTAAATTAAATTCCTGATCAACTTTAGTAGAGGTTGGCAACAACCTATGTGAATTAGCCAGAAAAAAAATTACTTCTCGTTCTGGATTATCACAAATTCAGCTGCTGCACACCACAGTGAGCAGCAATGCAGTAACACGCTGTAAATCACAGTGCGCTCGCCACCCTCCTCAGGATGAGTTAGTAACAGATAATGAATGGCCCGCAATTCACAAGCGGGTCATTTTGCTGCTCCTCTTTGATGTGGGGGTTGCGGCACCGCACGGCAAGGTGTCACCGCGCACCGGAGAGGAGTCCGTGTTCCTGCAAACGCCCTTACAACCCCCACAACACGAGCACTGCCCCCACCCATCATTAGTCCTGCGAAAACATGCACTAGGGAGCCCGCACTGCCTGCCAAGCCTCACCAGCCTTTTAGAGCCAACCTTTAACCAAACTGCTTGCACAGAAAGACAATTAACCCTGAAATGGCTACCAAAACACCCGCAAGTTCCATGTTGGGAAAATAGAGAGGAAAATTCAGACAAGACCAATGAAAACTCTTTTTGCAAGTGCTAGGTGGATTCCAAGCAAAGCAAGCAGCAGCTTCCCTAGGTACAGGTGAATGTCAATCCAAAGATTGCACCCTAAGCCCTCTTTATAGGTGGCCCTTATGAAAAGGAATAAAGGCCATGCAAGGAAACGATGATCAGACAGCACATGCGCAAGATAAACGTGCGCAAGGCTTATAGCAGAAACAATGAAAGAGAAAGAGGTTCTGACTGTCTCGCTAGTAGATTCAAGTAGAAAAGCGAACAGTGTACGTTAGAAAGGCCTTTCTGAGACTGGGATGTGCACAGAAAGCTGCTAAGCCACTGATGGGAAGGTCAGCTTCCAAAGAGAAACTCTGCGAGAAACACAAGAGTCTTCTCTCGTGTCTTAGGGTCCAGTTAATACACTCCAAGCTCCATCCTAAACATTTCTAGTTGTTTTTGTTTGCCTTACTGAATACCTATTTTATTGAATATAGCTGTATTTACATAAAATTATTTTTAAAGATAGGTTAGCTGTTTGCCTTGCGTTCAACAGATGTTAGCTGTTCACTCTGTTAGCAGTAGCAATGTTAACAGTGATTTATCTTTTGTGAGGGAGCCCAGAAAATAGGTATGTTTCTTCAAACTCCAACGCAGTGAGTTACTATGATAGTAAAAAACAAAGTCTACGTGGAGTGAGACACAAAACCACTGCATGTTGGAAAGGGAAGGGATTTCATCGGTTTGAAGTACATCTAGAGTTTAGAAAGGTTCTTTAAGTTGTCATGGAAGACGTGGAGTGTGTATTTATTGCGTTGGTGTCTCAGGTGTGCTCTAAATGGTTTTGTGACGAGCCTCTGTGGCAGCCTCTCTCACAAAGACCTGACACAAAGCAAGGCAGCCCAGCGCTGAAGAGGTTATTTGTGCAGCTCATCACGTCACCCGCGCTCGCTGCAGAAACCCTGCACACCGTGAGCAACGCAGTGCAGCCAATACCCTCCGTGCAGCGACACGTGCACGTGGTAGTGCTGCTGTGAAAAATGCAGCAGTGCGAGACCTGCTCCAGGAAGGGTGAAATGAAAGATGCAATTCAGTGAGCTCCTGGAACAGGAGGAAGGGCCTCGGGGAAGCAGCAATATGTCACCAGATGTGACATGGGCCATTTAAAAGGATGGGACAGGCCAAGCACAACCTCACAGACCTCCCAAAAGAGTGCAGAACACTGCAGCAAAAGGATTGGATTAAAAATAAATAAATTAAAGGGGTCTAGGACACGCGCACCATGTTTTGATGGTTTGTTTGCAGTTATGAACGGAGCATAGGGAAGTGCAAAGAACAGCCCGTTCTGAAAGGGTGCCACGTATGCGATGGTGCAGCTGAGCAGAGCCTCGCTGCTGCACCGCCTGAATTCAGCTCTGAGGCAGGAACCGCCTCTTGCAGCCACTGGGAAGGAACGTCCCGCTGCACAAACACCTCCCGTGGAGACTGCGGGCAGCGCGCGAGAACCGGGCCTGAACAGCGACCAGCAACAGCACCAGGCTTGAGTCCAGATGAACGAGGTCCTCATCTACAGAAGGAAACACAAATTAATCAGAA